GTTGCACCAAACGAGCGACTGGTAATGACCGAGAACGGGAGAGCGGTGCGCCTGCGCTATGGCCGGCCTCGGACGCATGCTCTCCTTGTTCATATATCACATCAGGGTCATTTCCGGGTTATGGCCAGTTCCTATGCTACCGCTTCCATCATCCTTCGACTTCCTGCTCTGAGCGTCCCATCCAAGGTTACACCGTCTAATCGGGTCGTATCCGAACTAATTTCTTTCCCACTATAAACATTTCCCGTCCGGTATCTCTCGAAAAGTTTTTGTAAAGTCAAATCTGCGTGGCGATGCTTTCACGTGTCCGCTTTCGGCCACGCGCTCAGACAATGAACCAGGCTGAAACCTCCTCGTTTCAGCGCTGTATTGACCCTCCCTTGAGTACATATCTTACAGGTTCGACCTCACACGTCTTGGAATCCACGCCACGCATCAGCCTAGTTCATATACACCTCGGACCTTCTTAACCGATACCACAGGGGCACATGAAACTTTCCACTCCGTCATGTCCGGCCATTATTTGGGCACACGAGTCCACGTGACGTAGACTTTTTTGGAGGCAGCCCCACGCGACCGGAATTTATCGATCAAGCTTGGCAGTCGGCGCCCGCGACCGTCGGGATGCGGTCATTTATTCATTTCGATGCAAACAGTAACCGCGTAAACGAAACTCGCGCGCGAGTTTAATCGAGACAGGGCTGGGTGTGTTCGTCATAGGTGCTTTTGTTCTTTCTTCTGTTTCATCGTCGACAAGGACGTGTCCGGGTTTAGGCTTTATGTCCTCCGAAATTTCAGCAGCTCGTGGCGCGAGGTTCGATGCCGATTGCTTCATCTCGCTAAATCTCGGTGGCTCGGGTATTGACCTTCGTTCAATTCGTATCGGCGAAATGTGGCGGCTCCATGCCAGTCTGAAAATCTTATTTCTAACTCCGTTGGTTCTCCAAGCACCAAGCTGACAAAATAATGTTACCGGCTGTATCGGTCAGGTATGCAGTCATATTCACAGATTATCACGTCACGAAGATCTCTTCCTATGCCTGACCGAATCGTCCGGTGCCTGTCAATAGTATCGTCTATGCGCTCGAGAACCAACTGCTTGCCTGAGTTCTCTTGATATCTGGATACGATCCGTTCGTGGATCATGGGCTAAGTTTGATTGTCGCGTACGATCTATGTGCCTGATCTTCATAGCGGATATAATTTGTGTCCGTAACAAATTAGTGCCTAAAGTGATAATGCTCGGCTAGTTTGATTTTTAGTTTGTGGAACGAGACAGTTAAGTTTGTCCTAGGACTCTCCTCATATTCACACCCTGTGCTTTCTTAGCAGAACATGATGTTCGAGAGCGAAATAGTAGATTGTAAACTTCTATCGACCGAAGAGAACAGGTGATATGGTCGAGGGCTGGAATGTTGACTTTGAGCTGTAAATGATGTCCAGGTGTATGTAGGATTCACAAGCCGCCAGGTACCGTCGGACCTGTCTAAATATGAACTGGATATCCCGCGTGAAAACACTGACCTCGTTCATCGGGCTCTCTAGATCGAGACATGGCTTAAACCATGGCATAAATGCTCCGCTGACCTAAGCAAACCCCAAAATTAAGTTACAATAGCGGCCAATTGAAGTGAAGTGACCAGTATCATACGCTACAAGCATTTGCCGCGTAAGTCTAGCAGCCAAGTGTCGAGGACTCAGGAGCCAGGAGGTGAGCGTGCAGTCACGTGATTTACGTAGCTTTCCTAGTTGCGCTGATAGTATAGTATGGCGCTCCGTGCACCATTAACGCAGGCTGATTAAAGATACAGCTTTCGATATCAGCACCGGACCTGGGGAGCCTAGGGCTAGTGTATATACTGTTGGTGAGAAGTGACACAGCGAGGGGACTGAAAGAGCAGGCTCAACTACTACGCTTGCGCTTGGGTGACTAGAGATAATCAGGACCAAGTTTTAGAAGCTTGAAGTCGCTCCGTAAGACTCTTCGCCACGACTCAGGCTCGAACCCTGCGCAATCGAGCTTGAAAACGATTGGCGTGAAAGATTACTCACGTGACCCGCCTCCCGCGCGTTACGAGCCACCTCTGAGGCTCTGGCTGCGGTTAAACATCCTACCTGTATCTGAATCAGACTACAAAGTACTCACAAGACAGTAGTCAAAATCGGGAAGTACTGTAAATGTGTGGATACAAGCGAGGAAACGGCCATACTGGGTATATGCGTGTTTCAACTCCTGCTAACGTCTTTCGAGAAGCTCTGTGAGTTCTGTAGTAAGAGAAGACTTCAAAAAGAGTGCCATGAGTCGGATTTGAACCAACGACCTGTAGATGGCAGAAGGTTCAAACCTGAATTAACGCAATTCAGGACGATCTTCAGTCTATCGCTCTCCCAGCTGAGCTATCACGGCTTGAAATTGGAAGCAACTCTGCATCCGGATCCTGTGGGGCAAGGAAGCACTGGGAGTTATTCAAAAAGGGTAACAGTCGAGCAGCACAAGGCCTGAAAGGTATTTTCGCAAACCATATCGTCCAGCACGGTGACTGAAAATACGGGTTCAAATCACACGGTTAGGTTGTACATAGCACGTGACTGCACGCATATAGCCGGACTTAGACATCATAAGTCAAAAAGCAGTATCTCCAGAATACTATTATAGGACGATGTCGTAGATAATATCCCGGTGCACTCTGGATAGATTGTAGTGGCGATTTGCTCCTAGCTACTTTTTGGAGAAAGCAGGGAGTCGAGGATATCTTCTTCTAAATCACATCCAACGATTGCTTCACTCACGTAAAGGAACCTTTTTCTCCGGCGGAGAATGTGAGCTACTTAGAGTGTTTGCGTACTGCGTCAGAGCTAAGCTCTCGCGACCGAGTGGCAAATGGGTTGTGAATGAGAAGAAGGCGAGCACAAAGGTGAGTTGGACGATGAGCGAACAAAAAGCTGTAATTTATTCACCGAAGCCAAGGCGAGCGTGTCGAGAGATATTGTAGCATACATCCGAAGCCGTATAAAGGCTATACCAAGGGACGCAACCAGTAAAACCCAGTGGCCAAACGATCAAGACATTCATCGTCTGTCTGAAAGCTCTAATGGGCTGTTTATATGGGCTCGTACTGCATGCAATCTAATCCAACAGAGCCTTGACCCTGGAACAACTCTAGACCAAATACTCGACGGCCAGCGGTTAAAGGGCAAAAGACGAGCGCTTGCCAGCATATATACCACGGCTTTGAACGAAGGTCTCGGTGAAACAGACAGCGATGCTGGAATTATTCAGCTATGCGTCGGCGCCATCGTCTTGACTGGGTCACGACGCCCACTTCCGGATGCTGCGCTGGCTGCAATGTTATCCAGACGCGTTCAACAGCACGTGTTATCTCGGCTAATCAACCGCTTGGGATCTGTGCTCTATAGGGACGATCAGAGCGTGGTTCGAGTGTTGCACCACTCATTCAGCGACTACATGACTGAAAATGACTGCCCAGAACAATATCGGATTGACCTTCGCAGACTAAATGCGGATATGGCGGCATCGTGCTTGGAGGTTATGCTACGAGATCTGAGGTTCAACATCTGTGGGTTGGAAACCTCGTTTGTAATGAATTGCGACGTAGCTTACTTGCAAACTCGGATCGAGGCTCGTATCCAGCCCGAGCTACTGTATAGCTGTGTTTACTGGACTACTCACTTCGTTGTACTTCCTTTCCCATCGGCACTAGTGGCTATCGAGACACCGCATGATCTCCTGAGAGGGCGACACCTCTTATACTGGATTGAGGTACTAAGTTTGACCAATGAGCTCCATGCCATTACGGAGGGGATGGGCCAGCTGATGGATTGGATTGATGTACGTACCAATCTCTGCAGTTCAACGATGCTGTTGGGTATTAAACTGGCCTGAACCTGTTCCAATAATTGACTGACTATCAACTAACATGATATGATCCTGAGAATGAGTACACAAGAATCGATCGCGGGTGACATTTACCGTTTCACCTTCGCTGCATACGAAATATTATCATCAAGCACACCGCATCTCTATGTATCTGCCTTTCCATTCGGCGCCGCGAACTATGTCACATTAAGAACGCTCGGGTCATATTTTCCAAACACGCTGTCAGTCACGGGTGGTGTAGGTCTATGGAATGTCCCATGCTTGCGAATTATTAACTTGCGAGTGGAAGAGGAAGCGGGAATCTGTAGCATATCAGTCTCCCATGATGGTCGCCGCGTCGTTACTGGATCTGATGACAAGGCAGTGCGGATCTGGGATGCGCATACAGGTGCTGCACTACTAGGGTCACTTGAGGGTCATTCCGACTCTGTGCAGTCTGTTGCGTTCTCACTCGACAATCGACGCGTTGTTTCTGGTTCAAGGGACAAGACATTGCGAGTCTGGGACACACACACAGGTGCGGCGCTCCTAGGACCACTTAAAGGTCATTCCAAGTCCGTAACATCCGTTGCATTCTCTTTCGACGGCCGACACATCGTCTCCGGCTCTGACGAGACGGTGCGGATCTGGGATGCACATACAGGTACTGCACTACTGGAGCCACTCGGTGGTCATTTTAGCAGTGTGGCGTCCGTTGCATTCTCTCCTGACGGTCAATGGGCTGTCTCTGGTTCTTGGAACAGAACTGTATGGATTTGGGACGCGCACACAGGTACTGCATTACTAGAACCACTCAGAGGTCACTCCGACTCTGCGACGTCTGTTGCATTCTCCTCCGATGGCCGACGTGTCGTTTCCGGTTCTGATGACAGAACAATACGAATCTGGGACGCGCACACAGGCGTTGCACTGCTAGAATCACTCAAGGGCCATTCCCGTCCCGTGGTATCTGTGGCATTCTCTCCAGACGGCCGACACATCATCTCTTGCTCTAATGACAAGACTGTGCGAATCTGGGACACGCATACAGGCACTGCACTGCTGAGACGACTGGAGGGCCATTACTACTCTGTGGAATCCGTTGCCTTCTCTCCCGATGGCCGATATATCGTCTCGGGCTCAAGGGACGAGACAGTGCGAGTCTGGGCAGAACATACAGGCGCTGCACTCCTGGAGCCACTGAAGGGTCATTCCAGCTGTGTGAGGTCTGTATCTTTCTCTCCCGACGGCCGACGTATTGTCTCTGGCTCTGACGACAGAACACTGCGGATCTGGGACGCGCACACAGGCGCTGCACTCCTTGAACGGTTTGAGGGTCACTCTAGTTCTGTGACATCCGTTGCGTTCTCACCTGACGGTCGATCGGTTGTCTCTGCTTCTGCCGCCTTGGACAACACTGTGCGAATTTGGGACTCACATACAGGTACTACACTCCTGGGGCCATTACATGGTCATTCCGATACTGTAGCATCTGTCACATACTCTTCCGATGGCCAACTTATTGTCTCCGGTTCTTTTGATCAGACGGTGCGAGTCTGGGACACGCTTACAGGCGCCACAGTTCTAGGGCCACTTGAGGGTCATTCCGAGGCTGTGACATCCGTCGCATTCTCTCCCAACAGTCAATGCATCGTCTCTGGATCTAAAGATAATACAATACGGATCTGGGACGCGGTTAAAGGCACTGCACTGCTGGAGCCGCTTAAAGGCCATTTCAGTCTCGTTACCTCAGTCGCATTCTCTCCCGACAGTCAATACATCGTTTCTGGCTCTAGAGATGGGACAGTGCGTATTTGGGACGCGCATACAGGAGCCACGCACCTGAGACCACTTGAGGATCATTCCGGTGCAGTAATGTCTGTCGCGTTCTCATCCGATGGCCGCCGCATCGTCTCCGGCTCCTTTGACAAGACAGTGCGGGTCTGGAACGCCTTGACCGCTTCTGCTCCGTTCGACATGCAAGGCCCTTGGCAGAACTCAGCAAGGTTTGCCTTATTCCCTCTTCCACTTACTGTTACACTGATAATGCCGCCTATGTCCACTTGTTGTTATCACTTCAGGGTCCTAAGTGGAGAACTTACTAGTTTGCTGAATGAGAATTGGGTCTGCAAGCCATCCGGAGAGCCTTTGTTTTGGCTTCACCCAGCCTACCAACGCCAACGCATCGACCAATCGCTCCTGGCTATTTCGACCAACCCCGGTGATCATCCTGTGGCATTCGATTTGTCGAAACTCAAGGTCGGGCCAGACTGGATTAATGTTGCTGGTGCTACTGGTGATCCGTCTTCGCGCCGGTCTTAGCTGCCTTGAGCTATGCTTACTGTCTGTGGTCGTAGCATTGAACTTGAGTACTTACAGCTTCAGAGTCTTAGTGCGTGGCTTGTCTTGGCTGAAATCAATAACTGGTGCTTAACTTTTACGTTTGCTCACGATGTAGTCTATGTTGTATACTGTATATTTTGTCCCATGATGACATCAAAATCAAGTAAACAGTACCGACAGTTTTCCTGCACTTCTACCAGGGCAAATACCTAAAACATTCCAAACGGGCGGCCTCACTGCCAGTTATGCATATCCTTGTAGGAAAATGGTCGATATATGCTGGCATAAAATGATAACCAAGCGAGTTACCCACCACCAGTATGTTATCCCTCAGGATAAGCACTGAAAACACAATAGCCTTGATTTCAATTCGCGGTAACGAACAGGAGATGAGAAAGCTGTTGCTCTATCCTCAATCAGCTCGAGTTTCTTTCTGCCTGGCTTGCACTTCAGCCAAATCATCGCTCTGTCACGTGATAGTGCTTGAACAGGGAAATGAATAAATGGTATTATTCATCCAAACAGCGAGCGGTGAAGGCTTGAAGAAGCTCCTCGACACTGCCGTACTCAGAAATTCACCCCCAAGGCGCTTGTCACTAATCTTGATCTCATAAACCCAGCCACGGGCGACAACTGTATAACATGCGAGGGCATAAATCCGAGTGGACGATGATGATACAATACAATCAAATGGACGAAGGATACAGCATCTATTTCCCCGCACATCCGTCAGCATTAGAAGTATGTGAAGGTAAGATGAGAGTTGACGCACCACTCGGACGCTCGCGCCAAAGGTGTGGGGAGGGATGTTGGACCTGAATTTGCTCTTTACGACTCCAGAGTTGCCGTGTGGGCGTGTTACACGGCTACGGTTGATGAATGAGCGCAATGGAGGGGTATGTTAGACTAGGACGTGTGGGATGGCGAGCGAAGACGTACCCCCAGATCACCCGAATCTTAGACCCCTTGATTTCTCGCTTTGCCCTGTAGACGTAGGCAAGACGCTACAATCATCGTAAGCAGACGTTCGCTGAACCCAGTCAGATGCCACAGCCCCTTTCGTCCCATCCTCCCAACCTATTCACACCCAACTCAGACCAAGAGAGCTCGAATAGCTCACCTTTCCAAGGTAAAACTGCGCATCCTCCTTGTTCGAAACGCCCTCGATCTGGATGAGCGACGTGTTG